GTCCTTTTCTCCGTTCAAGAGATCTAGTTCGTGCACCTAATAATGGCTGGACTGAAAATAAAAAAGATAGTCGAGAAGCCCTCTACGGCCTCTAGAGAAAAGGCCTCTACGGCTTCTAGAATAAAAAATAAAACCAAATCAGCCCAGCTAGAAATGAAAGTTTGCAAGCATTGCAAAGAGATCTCTCTGAGCGAAGTCCACACGGTCGCCTGTGAACGATGCAAAGATCTCATTTGTATCAGATGTTCGAAGTTGAGCTCTAAGGAGTACTCATTTCTTCAGAAATTTAAATTGCTTCATTGGTTTTGCCGTGATTGCGAAAAACCAACTCTTGGTGCTCGAAAAAGAGAGGAGTTGGTGGAAGAGTACGGCAATGAGTCGAAATTGTTGAATGATGCAGTAAACTCCTTGAGTGATATGGTGCGCTCGCTGAGTGACAAACTGAGCTCGCTATGCAATGAGCTGACTGAAGTGAAGGCTCAGTTGAAAAATACGGAAGAAACGGAAGTAAAGAACAAGACAGCTGATTTATCTGAAGTTGCTAGTGAAAGCTCACGTGAATTACTAGATAGAGAACGTAGGAAGGCCAACCTGGTCTGGTTTGGAATTCCTGAAAGTAACGCATCTGATGCGAAAGACCGAGTGATGGATGACACGGCATTTGTGGTAGGCTGTTGCAGCAAGGTACTCAACATATACGATTGATGTTATATCTTGCAAGAGGCTATGCTCGAAGGATGCTGCTGCCAATACCTTCAGACCTCTGCTGGTGACTGTAAAGGATTCTGCTCATGTCTGGAGCGTGCTGAAAACAGCGAGAAAGCTTGGAGAATCCGTTGATTACAAGTCAGTTTTTGTAAAGAAAGATTCCACCCCCTTAGAAAGGGCGGTTTTCCGCAAGAAGTGGCAAGAGAGAATTAGGCGGAAAGACACGGAAAATCAATCACTTCCAAGCTGCCAAGACAACACCGGCTGCTCACGGACAGTCAGAGGAGATGAAGGACAAGTAATTAGTAGGAATGATGTCCGTAGATCAAGGCCTGTAAATAATGTAGGAAGTAACCGCATACATAAAAGTGAAAGTGCACAAAAAGTTTTAAAATGTTTTTACACGAACTCGGATTCCGTTTTGAACAAAAAAGTGACCTGTTAACTGTGATTGCAAACGAATGTATAGACATTATTTGTATTACAGAAACACTCCCTAAAAATCACGGGGGGAAAATTGTACCTGTTGAATTTCAGCTGCCAGGTTTTGATTGTTTTCAACACTTAAATGAAGAGCAGTGCAATAGACGTGTAGCTCTGTGGGTTAGAACCTTTTATGGGGCCCAGCAAGTTAAGTTCTCTGCAGAGCATCAATCAGCTAGAGAGTCAGTGTGGTGCGAACTTACTCTAAAAAGCAAAGATATCCTCCTCATAGGGGTCATTTACAGATCACCTAACAGCTCCTCTGATAACAATAAAGTACTAAACAGCCTTTTACCGAGCGTGTCATTCAGTAGGTCGCATACGTTGATCGTTGGTGACTTTAACCATCCAGAAATAGACTGGGCAGATGAATCTTCTCCAAGAGATGGAAATCACCCAGCATCCTTGTTCTTGGAGTCTGTGCGAGACTCATTTTTAATCCAGGGCATCACCAAGCAACCCATTTTAGGGGTGAACAGACGCCAAATATTCTAAATCTTGTATTTAATAGTGAAGAATCAATGATAGATGAGCTTCGCCACGAAGCTCCGTTGAGCAAAAGCCATCACCAATCATTGTTTTTCAGTATTAAGTGTTGTGCAGAAAAGACGCTTCGGAAGCGTGAACGTTTGAACTTTGTGTAAGGCGACTATGATAAACTCCGTGAAGCGGTGAATGCAGCGAATATTTCGGATTGTATTATGGACATGAATGTGGCTGATTCATGGTCTTTTCTCAAAGACACGGTTATGCCAGCAGTTGATACCTGTGTACCTAAGATTACGCTTGGAGGAGTCAAAATGTCCCAGTGGATGAACAGTGCAGTTAAGGCTCAGCTAAAGACCAAGAAAGAATCCTACAAGCGTTATTTACGAACTCGCAGCGATTCTGATTATAACCTGTATGCAAGAGCTCGAAATCAAGCTAAAAAAGTTTGTCGCACTGCAGTGAAAAACTTCGAAAAAATATTGTTAAAAATGCAAAAAAGAATCCGAAAGCCTTTTTGTACGCTAGTTCGAAGTGTAAGTCAAAGGACGGTAGGACAACATGGGGCAGCGCGCCCCCCCCCCTCTTTTGAACTAAATTTTTGATGAAGTTTTAATTGATACGAGGTGGTTCTTTGTTTTGTTTAAAGGTACAACTAATGAGGAATGTATGATGTGAATTAGACGCCTATAGAGTTATTCAATTTTTAATGAAACACGAATTTGTAAAAAGTGCCAAAATAGGCCCATTGCCCCATGGGCTTGGGGCAAGGCGCCCACCCTTGTTTCTTCTGCCACAATTGCATATTTTTCCTTTAAAAATGATAAAACAACACTTTACAGTTAAAAATAAGAAGATGTGACGAAAAATATGACATTCATTCATTTACTAACAACTCAAAAAATCATGACCTTAACTTGAAAAAATATTCTCTTGGCTTAAAAAATCTATCACTGACGTGAAGAAAAATATTATATTGACATCAAAGTATACATCATTGACTTGAAAAATACATTCTTGTGATAAAAAATTCGTCCTTGACTAGAAAAAATATATTTAGTTAATCAGAAAAAAACTTCGTTCCAGTTTCGTCCATAATCCAGATATTATCTGCAGAGAATTCGCAACTAATCGTGATTTCAGCAAACACAATAATAACTCATCAACTTTTGGCTCATTGGTGTTGACTGAAATCAACTTTTGGCAAAGCAAGAGTCAATAACTCGATAAGGGTCATAAATACGCATAACTACAGGGTGCAGCAGAGAGGAAGGACGGTTTTAAAAACGTCATAAAACTATATTTTTACTGAAAAACAACTTTATTGGTGCAATCAGGTTCACAAAGAAATAGCATTTCAGATAGTTAAGTGTGGACACCATTGTTCAAAAAAGGTGACAAAAGTAGCCCCGGCAACTATCACCCTGTCAGTCTGACAAGTGTTTGTAAGCTAATGGAATCTGTTGTGAGGGATAGGATTATCGATCACTTGACTGCCCACCATCTCCTATCAGATTGTCAACATGGTTTTATTGCCGGTACATCCTACACCACTAACTTATTAGTTATTATCTACGTTGAACGATCGGACTCGCCTGCTGGACGAAAGGAAGCCAGTGGATGCGTTGTACCTCGATTTTGCCAAAGCATTTGACAGTGTTCCGCTTGAGCGGCTGTTGCGTAAAGTGAAGTCTTTGGGAATTGAGGGAAACGTACTCCAATGGATCAGAGATTTTCTAGTAGGTAGACGACAACGTGTCAGTATGAACGGAACGGTGTCAGACTGGGTATCAGTGATCAGTGGCGTGACACAAGGAAGCGTTCTTGGGCCTACTTTGTTCGTTGCTTGTATAAACGATCTGCCAGAAGCAGTGTCCAGCGTGTGCTCCATGTATGCCGACGACACAAAAGTTTATAATTCAGTGAAGGATGCGTCAAATAAAGCGCAATTGCAAGATGATTTTGACAGTTTTGTTAACTGGGCTGATACGTGGCAGCTGCGGTTTAATGCTGACAAGTGTAAAGTACTTCACCTCGGGAAGAACAATGAACAGCAAGATAACAGTATAAGAAGACATAGTTGCAACGAAAGAGTAATGATTGAGAAGTCTAGTGTGGAAAAAGATCTCGGAGTATATGTCGACAATGAGCTGAAATTTTCTAAGCATGTTGAAGCGCAAGCTAACACATCCAACAAACTTCTTGGACTAATCAGACGCTCATACGAGTTCCTAGATGCAGAAGCGATGAAGCAGTTGTTTGTTGCTGTCGTGCGCCCGAATCTAGAGTTTCGAAACGTTGTGTGGTCACCGAGATTTGAAAAGGACTAATTTAATAGAGAATGTTCAAAGACGTGCAACAAGGATAATTCCAGGCTTGAAGGGCAAGTCCTATGAAGAAAGATTGAAGATTATGAAGCTTCCAAGCCTCAGTTATCGACGTCTGCGTGGGGACCTCATTGAAGTATACTCATGGTTTATACAAGGTCCACAAAGGATTACTAGAATTTGAAACAAGAACCAACACCAGTGGCCACGGCTATAAACTAAAAAAACTGCGCTGCAACTTCTCCACGCGCCAACATTTCTTCTCGCTTCGAATCGCCGACACGTGGAACAGCCTCCCCAACGACATCGTTGGCGCTCCAAGTATGAACGCGTTCAAGAACAGACTAGATGAAGCTATGGAAAAGTTTATGTTCAGATTTGAAATGCCTAGCTCCTTATCGAACCGGGTGGAAGTCAAGTAGCTACTTCAAACTATCATCAGTCATGAAAAGATCCGGTCAAATGACACGATTTTAGATCTTACGTGAACAAGGCACGAAAAAGAATCGGCGACAGGCCACATCAGGCCTACACTTCAGCGCCGAGATCACTATGTTATGTTTAATAGAAGCATGTACGAAAATAAGGAAGAGAAAGATGACCTATTTCCGTGGCTTGCTCATCTTGAGTGAAGGGGAAGAAGTGTCGCACTGTGACAAAAAAAGGAAAAGGTGTCAATGTAATCATTAAAAAGGGGAAAAAGGAAAAGAAAAGTGTCAGAATGTTTCTGACTGAGTGGAAAATTATATTGTGTGCAAACTGGCTAATTATTCGTCAAGCCAGATAAATGAACAGTAAAAAATATAAAAAAAAAATATTTTTCTTTCTCTAACCTACGTTTCTGACGAATACTTTCTTCAAATTTGGAGGTATTAGTCTGTTTCTGAATAAATGAATTTCTGGTATTATGAGCTAGGCAACGTGGTATTTTCGCCGAGAAAAAAAGTTGGCAACACTACGCAAATGAGTACGCAAGTAGTTGCTTGCCAGCTACGACCGTGTGCAGTACATGAACTAGTGAGTCCTCCGAACAAATCCTCAAGCCTTTGCTGCTCAGCGTGGTCTAATGTTTTGTCACGGCTAGTACTCAGTCATGATTTTTTTGTGCTTTGCTGGAAATTATATATTTAATGTGATGATAATTCTAATATACGTAAGTTTTTCACGACATATCCCAAGATGGTAGTAAGATTTGTTTTAAAATTGAGGCTCATGATCCTAGAAATTTAATGCCGTGCTCCAGACACAACTCGACATGTAACAATGAAGTACAACAGTACAACGCAACTTGGTAACGACCGTGTGACGGTGTGTGCTCACGGTGAGGGAAGAGACCGACAGAGGACGTGATAAAATGTGACCTTGAGAGCTTCCTTCTTAAGTATGACGAACGACGAGGTTCTGCCCCTCCTGCCCGTTGTTAAAGTTCGTCCTACTCGAGAACCTGGGACACGATTACGCAGATAATTACGCATACTCCTTTATTGTGCTCATGACGCAACAGATCGCGCATAAGAGAATCGCAGATATCTACGTCTTCAAAATTTGTGACGAGAATTAATTTACTGAACTCATTCTTAATCTTATGCATATTTTGTTAATAATTTTTCTTCAAGCAGGTAGCTAAAATGCCTACTCATGAAGGATGGTTACGTCCGGCCGGAAATCTAGAGCAGTCCCAGGCCAAGTTGTATGATGAACACAATGTTGTCATCAGCTACGTTCTTCGCCTAGCCACGTCTCGAGAGGTCCACGAATGCGATGTGAAGCAAGTGTTCACGCATCTGTTCAGGTGTGTGATGATAATGGAACAAGTGAGATGTCCATAAATTCTCATAATTTAATTTTTCTGTTAATTATATGATAGATAAAGACCTCTTGATGATGTGTACCTGCTGAAGTAAGCTCAGGTATTTGATGCCTCCAACTGGGCACTGACATCGAACGCTTTGGTATCGCATTCTTGGGTGGGTTTGATATTATCCGGTTTATCCATTTATTTTCTTGCATTCATCCGCACATATATAGATTAATAATATCATAATACCCATATTTGCATCAGTCAATCATTTTATCCACAAGTTCACTTCTCTTCGTTCAAATTAAATGACAGACATACTGAGAAAGTAACTTCTTTCAATAACATTTCTTATTTCATCCGGCATTTTTGTACTGCACATATATTTATATAGATGTTCCTGGTATTCTTTATTGTTCAAGCTGTGTAAATAAGATATGTCCAAAATGAATTATTTAGCTCATCTGATTCTTCTAAACTTGAAGGTGTTTTGAGTCCAAATTGAGAAGATTGTTCATGTGAAGAAGGCTGGTAAGAATGGGCTTACCGTCAAAGACTTGAGAAGCAAACACGTTATGTCCGGCGATTGAATTTTTGTATCGCACGACTGAATGTCAAAAGAAACAAGGTTAGACCGCATCCGGGCAGGAATACTAGCCTTATATCTGTAGAAGGAACCATTTTGAAGTTTTTCAGCAGAAAAAAATGCATGTTAATATCCGAAAAATACATCAGAATGTTACCTTTCAATATTTCAATTTTACATTTTTTGAACTCTAGAAAAGAAAAAAAATTGTTATTCGTCCTTATTCTTTTCTTTATTCGCAGGAAGACAATAAATTTGAGGATGTTGCCTGAAATGAGGGACGGCCAGCTCTGGATGCGAGAGTTGCAACATGAGAACCTCGATTTCCAGGTACATACACTTGACTAGACCATAATTTATTCGAAATTTTTGAAATTTGAGCAAATGATATATTTTCTCTGAATGGTATGTAAGAATAATAGGGATTTTGCATTTAAATCTACTCATTTGTCGTTGAATAATATTTTTTTACTCTTATTTTTTAGACCCTCAAAGATGCAGAAGTGAACGCTGTATACCACGACATGGCGAGCTACAGGTACAACATGAGCGTTGGGCCAGCGTGGGCCGTGCGTTTTCTTCCACTATCCCCAAAACACGATGAACATATCAAGCGGACGACCATGGAAAATACGGAGAAGAAACTCGAAAAACTGCCTCACGTTTGCCACATTGTAATGAGCTTCCATCACAGCATAACCGACGGCTTTACTTGCGTGCGCCTCATCCGACACATCTTGATGCTTTTGAATGATGTCATAGCAAGGAACCCCATAGATGATTCCGAGCAGTATGCTCGCATGATGGACATTAAGAAGCAACAATTGGTTTTAGAAGAATTTGAGCGCGCATTCGAGGCTGACCCTAAGCTGTTGCAAGTCCGAGCTGAGTCATTACTGCAGTCAATCCCTGATGCGCTTCTTAGCAAAGTGTACCCACACCCGTCTACTAGACCGCCAAAAATGAAATGCCTTCCCCGCATCCTTGACAGCAAAACTACCGCAATTTTTGTCAGCCGCTGCAAGGAAGAAGGTATTACAGTTCACACTGGCTTCAGCTCGGTGATTGAAGCTAGCATTGTCAAAGTTTTACTGGACGCTAACTTTATCCGGGATACGTACACCATTGGAGGACTTCACTGTATCGACCAGCGATGTTACTTCAACGACGTTGACAATGCGTATGGTGATGGCCATGGTGTAATGGATGTAGCCTCAGAAGTACCGAAGGATATTCTAGACAACTTTTGGAGCCACGCTAAGCAGTATCACGAAAAATTTAAGGACCTACAGGTCTGTAAAAACAGCATAGAAATTGAAGTGATTGTAAGACTGACGGGTCACAACCCGCTTACAGTCATTGATGCTCAGGGTATCGACTCCCTCCCAGAGAAGACTGCCCCATACCTAACCACGAACATGAGAGACGTCACCGAGACTTTGAGTAACTGTGGGGATAACGTCGATCTCCTTTACTACGACTGGATGTCGGCGACCCAGGAGTTGGGGATCGACTGGCTGAGCTCTATTCACACTTACAACGGACAACTCATGCACACCATGCAGTATAACACTCAACTCATGGACGAAGGGCTTGCTGTACCTGTAAGAGTTGTCGATTTGGTATTTGAAATTTTGAGGAAAGTCGTTGAATAGCCGAAGCACATATGAATATTGAAAGGTGATAAATTGGTCAACTTATTTGCGACCTACTGCAGTGGAGTTGGTATAAGAAGCACTGGGGCTTTGAAATTCTTAAAATGAATGTTGACATTCTGACTCATTTTTGAATTCATTTAAAAAATTAGAAATGCAATATTGCGTTTGTTTGTATTTATGTCAGTAACTTGAATCTTATAAATTGAAATTCTTGATTGCCAGTCAAACAGACCTTTTGGCATTTTGGAATTGCGAAGCTCACTGTCCTCACGGTTGCTGATGCCTATTCGAAAAATTAGAATCTAATTGTCTCGGAATAATTCAAGCTTGAAGCGAATACATCTTCCGTCCTGAAGTTCTATCCACCTAACGCCGACTTGACAGACACGAAGGGTCCAAAAAATAAGGATCTAAATCCACCATTTATTCTATCCTGCCAGCGTCAAAGACCTGCACGTTTGGAATTACATTACAACTATTGCCTCAATTTTGTTCTAAGAGCATTTTAATGGGCATGGTTACATATTCATTGCTTTAAACATAATATTCGGAATGTACCACAGCATCAAATGAAAAGAAAACTGCTCTTCCTCAATGCAAAATGAGCCCCAAGTTTGAGCATTTCACAAACTTCTTTAATTCTAGGATTCACAAATTGTGCTTTGAAATAAATACTAAGAACGTTTGAATAAATTCCTGCGCATTGATTCCAAACATTAGCCATAGCTTTCTCAAATGCAAGTATTAGCATATTACCAGAGCTGGGCAATAGCAACCTTCTTAAGAAGGATGCTGTTTGAAATGTAGCGCCGCTACCGCTACCGCTACATGCTCCAACTGTAGCGGGCGCTACCGCTATACCACTACACTCAGTAGATTGCAGCGGACGCTTCCGCTACCGCTACAGTAAAATGTAGCGCCGCTACAATAGCCAAAATTATTGGAAATCTCTAAATATTTATTGTTCTGCTATTGGGATTTACTCATAAACATTTAATGATGATAAAACATTTTCAAAACATATCAATGCAACTTTATTGCAATTAACATAACCGAACTAGTACAGGTTACATATGTAGATACAGTAAATAAAAGTTAGGTATTCTTATGTTTTACCTTCCCTACATGGATGTCTACTTTAACCTACCAATCTCAAAAATTATCCACATATACATATAAAAAATCACTTTTTTTATTTGTATATACTGTATATTTGGATTATTTTTGAGATTGGTAGATTAAAGTAGATATCCATGTAGGGAAGGTGGAACATAAAAATAACTGTGTAAAAATAACTTTAAGCAAACTGAAACATGAAAAAAATACCTGTACGTGGTAACTGGTAACAACTTAACAAGTAACAACTAACATGTTGACACTATAGTAACAGGCTGAGGTTGACAACATTACACCGAAATCTTTTGTACAATTTTATTCTGTAATTTATATTATGTATAAATCATGCTGATTTTTAAATAATATTAAATACTGTTAAGTAAAATCTAAAGGCTTTATCTATAAATGTAGCGGTAGCGCTGTAGCGGAAAAACCTCGTATCGCTACTTAAATATGTAGCGGGCGCTACCGCTACAATTGCTCAAATGTAGCGCCGCTACCGCTACTGAAAATGTAGCGGCCGCTACATGTAGCGCGCTACTGCCCACCTCTGCATATTACGGACATTGTCATTGTCAACATTATAAGTTATTCATTAATTTTGATGTCATTAAAATGTATAAGTAAACAAAAATAAACCCTGGAGGCGAAAGCTTCAACCTCACATAGGGCATAGAACGTGCACCAAATACAGTTCAATTATTTTTAACTTTTTCAGAATACTTCATTATTAAATTACGTAGCTGGCAGCGAAAATTTTTGAAAATATGGAGGTTCGCAGCCTATGAACGAACTTAGGAGGTTCGTTTCAAAAGTTATCTGTTCCTGAAGATTAGTTCTTTCTTAATGCAATGCACAGATAGTTTAATTTCAACATCTTCTCCTGTTGGAGATCTGATATCTCCAACATCTGCTCTCACACTGGCTCTCAGGGAACGCGCTGTCTAGCTTCATCGCTGTTTCTAAGCGTCATCTCATCACAAGCTTAATTTTCTATCTAAACTTTACATAGCTTATTTACGAGTTTTATTCTCGTTTTATCATCTTCATAGGGTAACATGGGGCAGCGAGCCCACTGTGGGTCACGGGCCCATAGCGGGTTTCTCGCCAAGTATGGCAGATATTGGCCCGTGTTCTCTACCGCCGGTCGACAGTTTCACTGGGATGAAGTGTACGGATTTACGTTTTGCTAATTTAAAAATTGAATAACTCTATAGGCGTCTAATTCACATCATACATTCCTCATTAGTTGCACCTTTAAACAAAACAAAGAACCACCTCGTATCAATTAAAACTTCATCAAAAACTTAGTTTAAAAAAAGTGGGGGGCGCGCTGCCCCACGTTACCCTATATGATTTACAATCTTCATTCTTGATTTATAAATTTCATTTTCCATTGATAAGTTCCGTTTTCGGCTTACGAGTTTCTTTTTCGATTTACAAGCTCTATTGTTGAATTATAATGTTCACTTTCGATTCACAAGCTTAATTTTCGATTAAAAAATTTCATTTTTGATTTACAATATTTATTTTCCACTCGCAAGCTTTATGCAAGCTTCAAGCCCGTTTATACATGTTTTTAAATTGTTTTAAATGTTTCGAACGCTTTTAATAAGGCGGGTTTGAAAGCCGATGATTTCTCTGTCAATTCATATAACGGAAATTATTTTATACGCGGATGAAGTTTTGAGAAACCACATGACCAGCATGGCACTACCAACGTGCTATAAAATTTATTAAAATAGGGATATTGCAATTTTTAAAACTAGAAGTTCATTAAACCAATCCGATGTTTCGGGAACCAGCGAAAATTTCTTACTACTTTGGACGATCGCAAGGGCGCCACATGACTCATTGTAGTCCAGTGCAGCGCATAAAAAAATAATAAAGGAAACGGAAATATTGCGAAACGGGGGGAGACATACTGCGCGAAGAGGAATATGGCAATTCAAAAATTCCCAGCGCCGTATGAAGTGCTCAGAGTCTCCGAGCGCATCTTCTTCGGCTTATGACTAGGAGTCGCTAATTCGGAATTCCAAGCGAGTATCCAAAATTATGGTCCATGACAAAATGCCTTCAGTAACCAAGAGGACACGCTCTCTTGAAGCGAATTTATTTTTGGGGCACCTCCATCAGATCTTAGAATGGATTTTGTCGTTGGAATTCTGAGTTCGCTGTTTCAGGCAGCGCTTCAAAAGTTCTTCACTCACTAAGTCCACATACATCTGCATGATTCTTTTCAGGGGCTCCTGAAGGATTTTTGCCAGTTAGAGCTTCGTCGAGGAGTGTGTGGAGCTGCGTGGAACCTATCCACCCGCTTCCGCTCGACGTACCCAACACCACGAGTCTGCATCAAGGATGCAATACATAAATAGCGCTTTCAGCTTTTATTAGGCCGTAGGCCTGTCGCCGATTCTTAACATTGCAAAACATTCACAGCATGTCGCGGGCTTGAACTCGCAAGTCACTGCTTCAGATTTTCTTTGCTTAACCGTCTGGCCTCTTTGCCGATTCTGACCAGAAACTGGCACACAGAGCTGGGATCAAACTCGTACCTCTCTGCTCCAATCTCGGTACTCTGACCTTCAACCACTGCGCCATGTGCTTAGGTTCTTCGTCTGTGCTGCTGGAGTGAGAATATAATGCCAGGATTGATGCTCTCTCAGTGGCAACATCAGCAATGGGGACGTGCTTCCAGATGTTTTGACCTAAATACCTTGTCAAAGCATTAATGTCTGTGTCCGTCGACAGTCCTGCTCCAGCATACACGCTCGATCCTCTTGACTTACTTCCCGATCCCGGCCATTGTCGTGGTGACTACCTTCGTCTTTAAGGGCTCAGAGCTCTGAGCCGTGGCCCCAACCTATTGGCGTCGTAATTAATGCAATCTTCCTTGACAACAGGGATATCATAGGGGCCTTTACCGTCATTAAAGACACAGATAGCCTTGAATATAAAATTTGTAGATGAATCACCGTCACTCAGGAAGGTAACATACCGAAGGCCAAGTTGAGTCGACCTGTTCCAAAGCCTCACTGCAGACTCCTCAATAGAGCCAGAATTCCCATTGAAGTTCTGCTTGTACCTTGCATGATGTTGCTTTCATTCGGCCAACTCATCAGCAGGCAAAGCAGCTTCTTTCTGGCAGCACCTTTGGCAAAAGTTGAAAATGACTTCGAAGTCAATCACGAAGCCAGTGTTGCAGTCAACAACAAAACCAATCCCAATATGCGCCTTGTGACCTCTCGTCATTCACGTGCCATCGAAGGTGACATCGATGTCGAGAAATCCGTCGCCATCTCTTCCTTCCGTACTCGGGTAGTAGCGTCGCACGGCTTCAATTTCTTCACGCTGCTTCGAAAGGTACAGCACATTCATCCGCCTGAACAAGAATGAGGCATGGCGGTAACATGCACGCGAAGCGAAGCCTTTCAGCGAAAGCGAAGCACAAATGCGACGGACGCTAGCAAAGACATCATTGTTCATAAGGGAAATAAATACGAGGCTTATGTTCTACAAGCTGTTAGTTGTAACTTCGCCATAAGCCCAGTGGCTGGCTTAGCAGCGTTAACTGCTTCTTTAGCTTTGAAGAAGAGTAGTTAGTTTTTAATGGTGGTTGGAGATTTTAGATTTGTATTTAGAATGTTACAAACGGCCATCCCTTACCCTAATTAGTTGATTTAAATAAGCATTACGTAGGTTGAGGTAAAGAAGATAATATTCAATCGTATTTATTGATGGATTGAAGAATGATGGCGCCGACCAACACCTGTAGGGGTTGGTCATTAGAATACAGGCATGACATGAGCAAAATGGAATAACAGCAATATTAATAATATTGGGAATACAAATTGTAATTCAGTTATGTTGGCAATATTAAATTACGATTATCTGAATATAATTCTAAATTTTTTATTGGCAGCTAACCCCATAGCTGTTAAACACGACGCTGGCCAGAAAATAAATGAAGCTGATGCATGACTGGCTAATGTTGCCCGCTGGCACACTCTAATAAGAATTCACAATTTTGACTTACCCATTTATAATGTAACAGTATTTTGTAGCCAATTGAATTTTTATTTTTCAGAAATTAGACAAAATAAAAATTGATAGTATTTTGATTTAACAATTGAATAGAAGTGAACATTGAAGTAAATATTCGAATTTTAGCTAATAAGGTTACATGAAGTTACAAAAATCGTTTCAACGAGCTTGGGGATTCAATAAAGAAATATAATTATGACGTTCACAAGAAATGATAGTGCGAGTCATGAATACCAGTCACTACATCTTCACACACAGAGCACTGCCTAGTCACCGCGGGATCAAATCTGAACAATGTGATTCTGACTCCTCACCACGGATACCGTGCTTGGCGCACCACATTCACCGCAAGGAATGGATGGCACTAGCAAGCTCCTCAAGAAATGAGATGGGAACAACACAATTTTATTCATTCCTTGGAGTTGGCTCTCCAGTCGGCTGTGCACACGTGGCGTCCGAAATTTGCAAGAGCTGCCTCCTGCGTCGCAGAACATTTTCCATGGGAGGCACCTTATCTTATTTTTCTTCTTCTCCACTTTCTTGTTTGGCTTTCTTTGTCACAGAAGGCACTACGAAGCGTTTATGTTGTTTTCGCTTGGGCATTGTTGTTGAAGATCGTCTCGCAGTGATGAGCATAACAGCAGCTTCGTTCACGACAGTAACTACGCAACGTATAGCCGC